AGGAGGAGGAGGAGGAGGCAGGAGGAGGAGGGAGGAACAGGGAGGAGGAGGGGGAGGACGGACGTGGAGGAGGAGGAGGAGGAGGAGCAGGAGGTGAGGAGCGGGGGGGGAGGAGGGAGGAGGAGGAGAGCAGCAGCAGGAGCAGGAGGAGGAGAGAAAGAGGAGAAAAAAGGGGACCGAGGAGAGGAGGCGGACGGAGGAGGACTCGAGGACAAGCAGGAGGAGGAGGATGGGGGAGGGAGGAGGAGGACGGAGGAGGAAAGGAGGAGGAGGAGGAGGAGGAGAAGGAGGAGGAGGAGGAGGAGGCGGAGGAGGAGGAGTCGAGGAGTCGAGGAGAATTCGAGGAGGACTCGAAGAGGAGGAGGAGGACTCGAGGAGGAAAGGGGGGAGGAGGAGGAGGAGGAGAGAAGAGGAGGAGGAGGAGGAGGAGGAGGAGGAGGAGGAGGAGGAGGAGGGAGGAGCAGGAGGGAGGAGCAGGAGGGGGCGGAGGAGAGGGACGAGGAGCACCACGAGCGAGCAAGAGGACCCATTGCAGGAGCAGGATGAGTGTGAGGGGGCGGAGGAGAGGGACGAGGAGCACCAGGCAAGAGGGCCAAGTGCAGGAGCAGGATGAGTGTGACGTTGCGGATGAGGTGAGGAGGTTACGAACGTGGAGCACCAGGCACCAGAAGAAGGACCAATAGTAGGAGCAGGGTAATTAAGACGAAACGAATGAGGATGAGGAGGGGAAGGATTTCGATGACGAGTTGGTAGGATCAAGCGCAGGAGCAGGCGGCAGATGAAGAAGAACATGAGAGATGCTCACTGTTGTCCTCCTGTCCCTTACTTACCTTCTCACTTCTCATATTGCAGGGACATCGTACTGCCTGCCTCTTCCTGATTCGCCCACTCGTCGCCCCCATGATCGATGTCTCCAAACTCATCACCCTTCTCCCTTCTGATCCGACCTCTATCTTACTTCCTGCTCCCTCCTCCTTCATACTAACTATCCTCCTGCTCCGGGTGCTCCTCAGGATTGTATTCCTTTTCATGCTTATACTGATCACCCTCCCCATCCAAGCCCGCATGTCCCCCTCACGCATATATGATCGCGGGCTCAGGGCCCACGCCCCCCCCCCCCCCCCCCCAGATGGGATGGGTCCCAGGGTCCCTCGGGCCCCCCCCCCCCCCCCCCAGATGGGATGGGGAGGAGGAGGAGGAGGAGGAGGAGGAGGAGGAGGAGGACGACGACGACGACGACGGCGATGACGACGACGACGACGACGACGACGACGACGACGACAACACGACAACGACCGACGACGACGACAACGAGGACGACGACGACGACCGTCGACGTCGACGTCGACGGCACCACCAGCGGCGGCGGCGACGACGTCGAGCACCGGAGCTGTCAACATGACGCCAATCCCAGCCACACGCCGCACCCACAGGGGGGAGGGAGGGAGGGAGGAGGACCATGGCGTCACCCCGCACACACCCACAGCAACACACCACACCCACACCACATCCACAGGGGGGGGAGCCACCACGCCACACCCACGCCCACGGGGGGGGGGGGGCATCGCGCGGGGGGGGGTGGGCCGATGGCATTAGCATTGGGGGGGGGCCCAAACCCGGAACCCTCGACCATATATGCCTCCTTCCATCTGCTCGTAGCGCCTATGCGTCTCCATGTTGCTTGTCCCCGCTCTCCTGCTATCATGGGTCCCCACCCTCATAATTAATATGTTCTCGATGATGCTATGTATTATCATCCTTCTCGTTATGACCCGCGTCTGCCTTCACTTCGTCCTGGTGCTCCACCTTCCTTACGTGTTTCCTCCAAGTCCCGCATGTTGTCATTGATTCGTGGAGTTTGTATGTCATCATGCCTCTCCTCATGATCATCATCATCATCATCATCATCATCATCATCTTCTTCTTGTCCTCCGCCTCTTCCTCGTCTTCATCGTTCCCCATGCACATCCTATAATCCACCCTTGTTCTTCATATTTTCCCTGCAACCTCGTCCCTCCCCTGTTATCCTACCTCGCTTCACCTTCCTACATGATCATACCTCGGTCCCCCGCAGTATCAACCTGCCCAGCTTGTCCTGTAGCATCCTCATCTGGCTTCCATCCTCCTGATGTTCACCCTCATCCCCCTGTCTCCCCTACTGATACTCCCCTCCAAATCCTCCGTTGATTGACGCCCCCGTCCTAATGTTTCTTCCTGATATCAATGTTCTTCCCGATGTCTCCATCCGATCATTGCCCACCTTCTCACCTCTCCTATCCGCACAATCCATGATTTCCCAACCATCCTGTGGTGTTGGGTCCTCTTTTGAAGAGACAGCGCCCCGCGTTCCTCACTTCCTCCCTCCCTCCTCTCCCTCCTCCCTCCTTGCGTTTCACGCACCCAGTACTGCGTTTCGTGACCCCATAGGAAGCTCCGCAGAAGGCCCCAATGCCACCGTCCGCACGCGTCCCGAAACATCCAATTTGGCAGTGCCACCCAC